CGGGTCGGCGCCGTGCCGTTGGCCCCCGGCCCCCCTCGCCTCTGCCAGGTTTTCAGGTACTGCGGGTACGCGCAAAAGTGCTTTGATCTGTGGGGTTCCAGCTTTGGTCCGGGCTGTCTCTGCTATCTCTCCGTCTGCTACCGCATCCTTTCTGTCTGGGGGATCCAGCTGCTCAAAAAGCTGCTTAGAAATAGGAGGAAGCCCTGCAGCGACACAAGCTGTACCGCCGTGCTGTGTAAACGCTGTGGGCGAAGTGGCAGCTTTCCCCGGGGGGTCCCGTCCAGCTCTCCAGCCTAGCAGGCTGCTCCTGGTTATTTTGTTGAACTGATAGTGACTCCTACTCTCCACCCCCACCCCCCCGATCTATGCGGGTAAACAAGTACTGTAGATGTACAACTATTGATTATGTCTAAAATTATGAGGTTTTTTTTCTTTGCTGTTGGTGCTTAAGCAGGTAATGCAGAAGTGAAAAGTGCGGTTTGTGGTAACTTCTTCACACACGCAGATGTTTTCGGATTCCTTAACAATATTCTTTGGGCTTGCTTCAGCATTATTCTGTGATCTCAACTGCCTTTGCTAGGCAGTTTTCATAAATCTAACTTCCTATGTACATATGTATGGTATATGTTATAGTAACCCAAATTATTTCAGAAATGGTGTAATTTGGGATAGCACAAACTAGAAGCAGCTCAGAAATAACTGAAACAATTTGCCTGTGCTTGCAAGCTGAGTAGCATCTGTAACAGCCGCTACTGGAAACTAATGTGACAGAACAAAGCGTGCATGTAGATGACTCTGAAACTTGTAAACCTGTGTGTGCCAAGCGTGCTTGTGTAAAAGATACAAGTCTCAAATTTCAGCAAGTCTTAGTTCCGATTTGAAAAACCCTCATAGATGTGAAAAGACAGTAAGTGTACTCCTCAGCTGAAGGCGAGTATCTTAATTTGACAGGGGAGGAGTGAAGAGGCATGAATATCTTAATGCATTGGTAAGGTGTGGCAGGTGCCCTGTGGAGTGAATAATGATGTCAGATTCTGTTCTAGTCAAGTGAGGGGACTGTGGCACACATTGTTATCATCTCAGTATGATGCTATGCATGCTTTCCATCTGAAGGAAAAATCCCTTAGTTCTATGTGCAGTAATCAGTGAATCTAAATAGATTTTTCTTGAGGCCACCAATCTGATACATCAGGCATATTTAATACACTTAATTAGGTGATAAAGCAGCGCAGTGAATTTTGTTCCTGGTGAGCAGCATTTTATTGCAAACTGGACAACCAGACAACTTCCCGGTTCCTTTTTTTTTTTTTTCTTTTTTTTTTTCTTTTTTTTTTTCTTTTTCCTGTTTCCAGATGAGATGTCTGTATAACTCTCAACCAGGTTTTAATTTTGTCTTGTGAATCTGTCTACTTTAGTCTTCTATTAGTTTTTATAAGTACTGTTAAATTTAATGCAGTTTGGCCTAATTTAGGTGTGCTCTGGCTGTAAGTGAAATGCATGCATACAGATTATCTTGTGAACCAACAAAGCAATCTAAAGGAAACTTTTAAGTACTACACAACTAGATAAATTTTTTTAAATTTTTTTTTTTTCCCTCCTCTTTTCAGAGTAGAGAAGTGTCTTTGAAGAAACGTCCTGTTGGGATGCCTCCCATCAGTGCAGCTGCAGCTCTGCAGATTTGTCTGCTGCTGTCTGCGCTTCCTGCACAATATTTCATATCCCAGTGGTATGGAACAGACTCTGCTCAGCACATCCAGATGACAGAAAGGTTGTGAGTCTCTCTTTCCCTCCTGTATTTTTTTATAAGGGAGTTCTCTTTCTGATCCTTGATGACGCTTTGTCCTGGAAAGTTGGAGTGTTGGTGGGACACATTGACTGTTCCTACATGAAAACAATGTCCAAATCATACCTCAGACATTTCTGTGGCTTAATGTGACTGTATTTAGTTGTTTAAAGATGTCCTTCACAATTTGAATAACAACCATTTTCTTCACTTAAAAATCTATGTATAATCTGCAAGAATGCACGAATGTACCTTAATCTCATTCTGCTTTTGGATATTCCAATATATGTTACTGTGGGTTATGTCCCTTTAAAAGGGGGAAATGGAAGTGTCTGATTATTAAGGCTGTATCTAACTTTCCATTACCTTTGGATGCTTATTGTTAAAATAGATTTTGTTGCATAGTACGACTCAGTACAGAGTCTTAACCAACAAAAATTAATTCATAGTAAATTACTTGAGGCAGTCATAATGATAGAGTTGAGTAAGTAGTGCCATTTTGGAGAACTTACGGATTGACAGGGTCACGTGCATCTATCTCCAAATGTGAAGTGGAGAATACTACATCAGGTCCAAATATTTGATAGTGGTAACTACTGGCAAATGTTGGTATACTGAAAATGAGTGATGCAAAGAGAAACTTAAGTGACTTAGTTTTAACAGTATAACCTGTGCAGTGCATTGGTTGTGTGATTTATCTGTAGAACTGAAATGCATGAAGTAATGAGAGCAAAAGATTGGCCTCATGAAAAAAGAACTAAGTCTGGCTTTGTGTGTGAAGACCCAGATTTAAATAATATTCAGGTTTCATGGCGTGAGTCAACTTCTAACCATTTAGATTTACGGAAAAACTTTTAGGCTATTTTTTACTAGTCTTTTGATTACGTGCACCATTTTTGAAATGTCTCATGCTCACTATTCTCAAGTAACAGTTAAAACTGCAGAATCTGATGCAATTTAGCAGTTCCTGTAGTCTGAGTACAGAAAGCAAGCAACACTAATGAAAAATGGTGTTATCCAAAATTTACATAGTTTACTGGTACAAGTGATTACTGAAAGAATATTAATTTGCAGTCTAGAGGAGAACTTGTTCCTGGTCACTGATTTTTTTTTTCCTGTTTGCTACAGAAGCAAAGCCTTAAAGTTTAAATATTTTTAAAATATATAAAAATGCTAGAGAAGTTTTTTGAAACAATATGATGATCATTTTTTTTACTAAAGGATAATTGCCTCTTGGAGCAGCTTTACAAAATCTTACATGAGTCTGGATGCGTGGGCAGATCGTTTAAAGCTGTGGCTATCAAAGACAAGGTAGGATGTTACATGCTGTCTACCCCCAACAATAAATCTCAAACACAGCCTCTTCTTAACAGGAAGGTATGCTGCAGGCGTGAAATAAGTAACAACGAAGAAGTGTCTCTTCTTTGCTGGTTGAGACGATTTGGAACTTTCTGCCAGGTTTAAGAAAACCTTGTGACTGTATTCTACACAAACATGCAATTTGAACTGCATGTGAAACTAAACATAAATCATGGCAGTAATTCTATACATGTTATCATCTACTTTAAATGTATCTGTTTATGAATTCAGGACGATTAACCATATTAATGATTGTAAGCAGCTACCTGTTCGTAGAATCCAGTACTATAACATGGGATGGACATCTTATGCTGCATATGGTAGTTCAAGAAAACTTGAAATTGAACTAGAAAACAGCGATGGGAAATCTGTGGGTCTAGGAAGAAGGGGAAACTTGATTATTGGACATGTGACAATGAGTTGGTCTAGAAAAAGTAAAATTATATCCCTTCATATGTATGTCATTTTAATTTAAGAATACTGTTGCTTAGAGTTGTTTGGACAGGTTCAAGGGCTTGCTTGTGAGATTTAATTCTTGTACAGTAGAAATGCTCCAAAGGTTTTACCTTGATCCTTTATTATTGATCCATGTACAGTTATCAAGGGTGTCAAGTCCTCTGAACTGTGGAAAATCAGACTTAGTTTTGCCCCCAAGAAAACCTAGGGAAATGTTGTATGAATGGGAACTGGAACCATCCTTTTCTTAGGTTCACCATAAATTGCTTTGCAACTTTGTGGAAAGCTCCAGGCATATCTAAAGATAAAGCCTTCAAAGACCAAATGATCCTTTGATTACGTGTATGTAGATGGAGCTGCTTGTGTCTTCCAAATATCCTATAATACAAAGAATTGGTTATCCTGAAAATATGATGACATTTGAGACCTCCCAAACCTACTATATTAGCTGCTGTTTTCAACAATGCAGTCTGACAGCCTAGGATATTTGCCCATTCCTGTTTCTGTTAAAAGGTATTTGTTAATCTTAAGTCTTCCTACAGATTTGAGCTAAACCAAGACTTTTATAAAAAAAAAATTGTTTGCACAGTTGTGGAACTTACTCTGATTTTCTTCCAGGTAGGGTAAAGGGAGTAAGACTGAAAGAGGGAAGGTAGTGAACACCATAAAAGAGGAAGGAGACTAGGAAATCTTCTTTGGCACCAACAGGTTGCTGACTAGTATGGATGGAGTATGTTAACCCAAATACATCTGTTCATAGACTGCTCCTCTTACATTGCCAGCAGAAGGAATATTTGAAACCTCCCCCCCAGTAAATGTTCAGTTTGCACATTGTTTCTTTATGCTTTCTTTTTCACAACAGCGGTGAAAAACATAAGCCATTTCCCTGTTCTAAAGATGTCCCTCCCCTAGTCCCCATCCTTTAAATTCAGATGAAATTCAGCCTAGTGCAGAAGGAAAAGCTATACTTACTGTAGTCTTAAACTGGGACTCATTGCCAGACACCTTGTCCATACCAGTGTTAACCAATCTTCTAAGGATTTTACAAAAGATACTGAAGAATCACTCTGTTAGAATAATATTTGCTTACCTGTATAAAATAAATGGGTTTCCTCTGATATGAAAATTCTAATGCAACTGTAGAGCTACATATCCAGTGAAACTAGATTCATGCTCTTTTTTCCCATTAGAACAAATTCCTTTGTCTTGTGTATTCCTTAAAAGTGGTTTTAATGTAAAACTCTCATCTGGGCTTCAAATTGTGAAGAATTTTGTATCAAAGGCTTTGATGTATCCCTCTATTCAGACAAATGCTTAAGACAGTAATAATCAGAAGGCAATTATCCTAAAACTCAGTTTCTAAAGAACTTGTTTGAGTTGGTAATTTTACATTTTAGGAATTGGCACTATGGAGAAAAGAAAACCAAAAGTGGCAACAATGAAGCAGAAACCCATTCTTACTTTGCAGGTATTTGGAGTCTTCATAGTCCTTATGGATTTTGCTTGTGATATTGTCACGTATAAGATCTTCTGCAGTGGATTTCTATACTTACTTTGTAAATGGTAGTCTTTTTTTTTTCCCTTCTTTCTAAACATTATTGATGATGTTCAGTAAACAAAAGAGAAAATGTAAAATCCAAGGCCCTTTCACCTTGTGTTGTGTAACAGAGTGTGGCTACTTTGTACTGATGTATGAAACAAAGGTATAGCTTTCATTTGATTCAAATGAATTGTTTTAGATAAACTTCATAAAAGAAACAGTTGATCAGTTTGCTCCTGGAAAAAAATTCCCTGCAGTCAAACCGAATAGAAGAATTCTGCAACCTAAACTGGAAAAAACCTAATGTCAAAATCAGTTAGCAGGTGTAAGCACTGTAAAATACTGATGTAAGGCTTAAATAATTGTCAATATATACATGTGTTTATGTTTTCCAAAGACCTCTGTGTAATATCAAAGGCATGCAAATAGAAAAATCCCTTAGTGCATGCTGCTTTCTCAAATATAGTAATATTCTGGGGGAAAAAAACAAAGTACCTGTTCCCTTGTTTACTTCACCTATTAATTTAATCGTCAGTTCTATCCTGGTAGAAGTCAGAAGAATTTCTGTTTAAATGTTTAATATACTTGATCAAACACTTATCCTTGCTAAATCTCTTTCTTTGTTAAATTAGAATCAACTTATATCCGCAGTCCAAAGCCTGAATATATTCGGTTCAGTGTGGGCCAGGTAATAGTTCATAAAAGATTTGGCTATTTGGGAGTCATTGTTGGATGGGATGTAAAAGCTAACACTCTAGAACGGCTGCAACACAAACATCCTCCAGCGAACCAGGTTTGAATATATTAAACTCTTGCTTTATTATTACATTACACAGAATAACTCAGGTTAAAAACCTCAGAAAGACTGTTACAGACTTATGCTAACCTAATGGGAAGTACTTCAGAGTCCCACATCACCTGTGCAGCTGAGCGGTACCCTCCACTTCTCTGCTGTTGGCCCAGTACAGCTTTGCTTTTGCACCACTGACTGGTTAAGCTTCGCTGGTCAGGGTTGTACTGGACACGTCTAGAATTAAAATGACTCACTTCTACTATGCAGTGTTGTATTTAAAGTAGCAGTGTCAACCTATAACATTTAAATGGCCTTCTCATGCTGTGTTACTGAAGTTAAAAGGCTGTTAAATCTTTTATCTGATCATCCATAATTGGTAACATCTTCATTACACCTAAGAATCCTTTGTGTTTCATCAGTTTCAGTTAGAAAGCAATGCTTTTGGGGATCTGGATACTTGGAATGTAAATCTATTTAACAATGTATTTTTGTTAGAATTCTTGAAGCTTTTGAAATTTTCTAGCCTAAGTCCATGTTGTATTTGAAAATCAGATGCTAAATCTTTGTTGACAGTGCAGGTCTGATAATGCAGTGCTGAATACTCTGTGGGTTGGCCACTGACATGCTGCGTAAGTGGCAGGAAGGCACTAATCATTAAGTCAGAGGATTGAAAAAAAATGAGAAACTCAGCCTGTAGCAGAGAATTCACATTCAGCTGGGAGCAGACATTCAGTTCTGTTTTGTATGTTTTGTTCCTTCCCTGCTGTAATTTTATGCACTCATCACCCATTTTTGGCTTTTAAAACACCTGCATCCTTGCTTTCTTTTCTCCTCTCAGTATTGTTCTCACCAACTGAACACCCGTGAAGTATTGTTCTGTTCTCCCAGCAACCCATCCTTATTGTTTTAATAGTGATGACGTGTGGTTAAGTGTGTGTCTTTTGGGGTTTTTTTAACTTGCCTTTGACTATCATGTTACATGCACTAGCTAAGCAAAATGCCTTCTGACGTTTACGAGGCAACTGCTAAGCTTGGTCCTTGCAAATCCCCACTAAACATTAGCCAGGCTTTCAGTCCAACTTTTCCTTGCCTTTCTTTGACTTTGAGTTCTTTACTAAATTGCTGAGCAGAGGCCACTGCCTGTCATATTGATCGATACTAACTGCTTCATAAACCCCGCTTAGCTGTCTGTATTCATCCATCACTTTTTTGTCTTTAGATCGTGGGTTACTGTGGGCAGGAATGTTTATGGACAGTAGTGAGCGTGGTGGGATCCTGGCCTGTGATTTGTTTTCACAGGCACTGGAAAAATTATAGTAAGCCACACTTTTCCTTTCTTGGCTGGAGGATTTTTATATAGACATAGAAGTTGCCTTAACTCTGTCAGGATCAGGATGAAGCTTTGCCCCTCTCTCTCTGCTGTTCTCTGTTGCCAACTGTGAAGGAAGAAGTGTGACTAACAAATTGTCATGGGACCTATATACAAAAACCAGGGATGTTCTAAGTCATGTTTCTTGCAAGATCTATGGGAGAAAAGGTTAATTAAAATTTTGACTCTTAAAAAATGTTTCAGATATGCCAAGAACTTAATGTATTACAGTTTTGGTTGCTTTATATTCTCCGAACTGATGTTGGTAAAATCATAAAAATGTTGCTGTATGTATGTATTGAGTGGATTTAGGTTCTGTAAGCCTAGTGAGATTTAACTGATTATATAATGTAATCTTTAGTCATCATCTCCCCTTGAGGCTATTTATTTCCTTCTATTTTTACAGGATCTAAAAGATACTCCTCACTATCGAATTCTAATTAACAAAGCAAATGGCTCTGGCAAATCTACAGCTTACATTCCCGAGGAAGAGATAACAATTATTATGGGATTAGAGGTAGTATTTATTTTTTACTCAGTTGCAACTTGTTACCCTGTATGTTTAAAAGTTGGCTGACCTTTGGCTTAATAGAATCTATCTATTTTGCAAAGTTAGTGAAAAGTAATAGAGAAAGCTGATGAACAATTTACTGCTGCACTTTCAGTTTTGGAAGGTGATAAATGACCAAACCCAGGTACTGCCTACTTCAGAGTATCCAACTGCCTAGTTTAAGTGTTCTAGCAACTTGACTTCTGTTGTGTACAGGGTGTTGCAGACATGGACTTCTGTTTTAGCGTTTCACTGACCTATCGAAGTTGGACGAGTAATTTAATCTTTTCCTACTGGATCTAGAAAAATATATTGGTTTCTCAATTCTACTCTGAAATATCTGCATTTCAAACAGCTCCTGCTCAGCTGCTGCCGGGACCGAGTAATGTGTCCCTTCTTAACTGCTGCACTCTCTGGGAGACAGAAATTCCGGTTTGTGTATCACGGTCTTGGTAGCTTTTGATTTCTATCTTATGCAATGTGCACCTGATTCTTAAACTAGTCAGACTCTGATCCAGAAAACAGCCTTCAGGCATGCATGCCACATACAAACAGCTTTTTGCAAGGAACCAGCGCTATCACTATTGCGGATGCCTTCTTTTGAATAGTGGATAGTGGCAGTATCTGTATTTAAAATAACAGCAAGTAGCTGAAGCATTCCTCTGACAGGAGATGCATGATCTAGTCGAACATAGGACATTCAAATTGGCATCTTTTGCCTTTCAGGAGAACCCCCCCAAAGGAATTGTGTAAGGTAGGCTGGTCTAAAGACTCTCCATGCTCTGTCTTGAAACTGTGCCACTGCACATAAAGGATCTCTTAATTGATGGGGCCAAACAATGTGACACCATTACCTCTTTTACATGGGAGAAGCCTTCCTTTCAGTTCTTTATGTTTTAGCCACTGATTGTAATAGAAAATGTGCTAACATGCCTGAATTTAGGAGCAGGAACTATGTTGTTGCAGATAAGCAAATGTCAGAAATACTTATAACTGGATTCTGACCCCTAATTCAGGTATCTAAAAAATGCCCCTTTCATTAGGTCAGTCAGCTGGCTACTTTTGGTTAGAGTCCATGGGGAGAAACATATACCTCACTTTAAACATTTCCCTTGCTTAAAATGGCCTTTAAAATATCAGATTGCTTTATTTACCTGCCTGTCAGGCTAATCCTCCCCACAGATTATTAGGGGACTGATGGTAACAAGCTCACAAAATCAGATACTTGAAAGTTGTTGAGATTAATTACAAATGGTGAGTCATGCCTATACCTCGTTTGAAAGGTCTGTGGATTGCCCTCACTCAGCCTTTCCAACAGCCTAACAGGCAGAGTAATTTCCTGAAGAGTTGAGACTGATGAGAAAATGCTTAGACTTGTCCTAACCCTTTCCCAGTTGACAGTTCCAACCTGCTCACTGTAGGCTTTCTGCACCATGACAAGGAATGTAACTTGGCTGTGCATCTTCGAGTCGGACATTGTGGTACCTAAGGCCATCAACTTGGTGTGTCTTCACCATTTCCCTGACTACTTCTTTACTGTTCCTGCTGCCTGACTGGACTGGATAACTGATCCATTGAAAAAAAAAAAACAAACAAATAGCTCTACCTGTAATAAATAAGTGGCAACTACAGTAAGAAACAGTGCTGATTTTAAAACATCAATGCCGGTGTGGATCTAGCACATAACCTCTCATGAGATATGTTCAACATTCATAGAGTACTTTGAGAAGATCACTGTTCTGATGACAAATAGGTTAAGGCACATGCAAAATACCACTGAAAGTATCTCTGTGTACATTGTATTTAAAAACTAATCAGGACTTTTCAAAAAGTTAACTGTAGTAACTTTAAAGGTTCCTTTAAAGTGTCGGTTTCTATTTACTGCTAATTCTGGTGCTTACTCAACTGGAAATGTTATTTTCTCAGGTGCATCACCCTGATATGAAAGCCTATTTCAGTGGATATGATGGATCAAAATACATTATGCAGCCATGGTTGAAAAAGATCTATCCTCATGACTGAAAAGTACCTGTTTGTACATGTAATGCCCATCCAGACAACACATTTCCTTTTTATACTTGAGCAAACCAACACCAAGATGAAACTCATGTATAGTTTTTCCTGTGACAAAATAAACTATTCCTAAGCATGTTTTACGTTGAACAGTCTGTTCTGTTAGAAGTGAACACGCTGCATGTTCAGTTTACCATGACTCAGGATGGGGATTAATTTCCTTCCAGATTTGGGAGGTGTTTTGCCAGTTATCAGGCCTAGCGTAAAGGACACAGCCCCCATAAAGATGAACCAATAACCAAATTGTATTTGATACAAAAGAGTCAGTACATGGGTGAGCACTGGGGGTACAAACAAGTCAGATTATACATAATTGACATCAATCCCACTGACCCCAACACCACCACTACACAACCAACAATAGGGGGAATAAATGGTGAGATGCAGTCTCCCATAGAAGAGACAGGGGACAACCAAGTCAACAAGCCAAACACATAAAACCAAGGAAGCCACATAGTGAACCTCTACACAGCCCACATTTACAAGAGACAGACCTGACTGGAGCCCAGTTCCAGGGAGGCAGGAGGTCCTTCCCCAACAGGAAACTCTGAAAAGTGCATCCACCTCACAGACAGACACTGCCCCTTTCTGCAAGTGGTCCCAGCTTTTATCCCTCAGTGGGACACCTGACTTTTGCTTACTTAATGCAGGACACCTGGGGCTCATTTACCCAATGGCTCTCCCTGCCAGGCCGGCCCCACCCTGGAGGGAAGCCTAAAGGCAAACTCACCCCCCCTTTGGGAAGGGCTGTGGGAATCACCCATATGTCAACCTTAATTTGGGGTTTGGGGTTGAAACCCCAGCATTTCAGGAGGAAAGGTTTAAATACATCCCACTTTCAACTAGAAGTACCAAACGTTTTGCACATCTTGCCTTGTTACAGGGAGAAGATGAAGAATCTAAACAATTAAGAACTGTACTTTCAGAATTGTAACTTTAATTTTAGGGGACAGAGGTAAATAAAGGCCACCAGGAACTAAAATATTTGTGGGGAGGGCTGTAGTAAATCCTACAATACTTTGACTACCCTCTCTACAAAAGCATGCACTGTGCTGCTTTCAAATGATACTGGCAAAGGAAGAGTTAATCTACTTTTTTGCACCTGGACAGATATGTTAAGAAACCACCTACTTTGGCTCACTACACAAACCTCATTCTTAATAGCCTCTCTTAACTCTACTTGCTACCATAAGAGTAAAGTAAAAACCACAAAAAACTCAAAAGAGCATAAGAAATTTATTAAGAAAATGTGTAGGACTTGAAAGTTTCTAGAGCAACTTCTTTCTTCTGTTTTCTTTTCCCTTTATCTCAAATACAGCAAACACTCTACAAGAAGCATAAGCAGTAGCATTCTGGATTCTTTCCTGCAGAGTCAGTGACTCTGGGGAGTTTGATAGAGGACTGTTTATGTGGCCTCCCCATTCTTTTGTTTCTTCTTCTCTTATTAATAAAGGTTTTCCCAATGACTGGCCAAACAGTCGACAGACTTCGTGAGCCTTCTGCCGTGTGTTTCCAACAGCAGCAACACACACTTGACGGCTGGGAGGTAGAAAAAGCAGCACAATAACATGTAGGGCCAACTGATGTACAAGTACTCCTGCCAAGCATTTCTTTTGTTAATACCTCAGCTTTTGTAACTGCAGAGGTGTAAGGTGCATCACCTTCCACCAGCTTCTGGGTGATAGTTTAGGAGTTTGAGGGGAGAGTGTGTGAAGAAAATGTCAGCATCCCCATCAGCTATGATCAAGCATTTCTAACTCCCACAGGCTGCAGACATCGGTGGTGTGTGGTGCAGAGCAAGAGTTCAGCCCTTGCTCCAGGCATTTGGGTGGCTCGGTTCTAAGGCATACTAGCACCTATTTAACCTCACTGGCCTGATTTCCAGGTTCCTGTGTAGATACCCTTGAGATGATACACTTCTGACATCTCCAGAACTGTCAGCTGCAGCTGGTTGAGCTTGATTCTTGCACCAGGCACTATTCTTTACTTTAAAGAGGCAAAATCCAAACCAAGATTAAACTTCCCTCTGCCCCCCCCCCCAATGTCAGTGGGAGAAGCAGGACTTTGAATAGTTAATGCCTAAAATATCAAGACTGAGAGATGTTTTGATGCTGAGCAAGCACCAAACATGGTTTTTTTTCAGATCATGTCAGCAGCTAAGAGTAATGGGAATTGGCAAGGGTACTTCAAAATTATCAACATCTGGTAACACACTTGTACTTTTCATGAATAAACACAAATCTACACTTGCTGATGTAACCAAAGTCAAATTTCGTTGACCTGATATTCACAGCAGATTATACTTCCAATGGAAATCAGTGGGAAAATGTTTTTTTGTACCATTCTGCTTTTGCACAGGGACATTGTAAAAAGAACAAGCTGTATCTTCTAGGCTGCACAGCATTTTTTATAAGTTACATTTAAAACAAACACTGAAATCTTTGAACATCAATTTTAATAGGTATAAAGGAAACCATTTTCTCCCATTACAAACAATATAAATTATGTATTCATAATAACTCCTATCTGAGGCTGTAACATTTGTGGTGTGAGAGAGAACTTACCGAAGGGTGTCTATAGCTTCTGGTGTATGGTAAAAATGAGGTGGACTGATGGTAACAGAGGTTCCTAACTTTTCAATGAGTAGATTGCAAACATTCTGCATTTTTCCAAAATCGCTGAATACAATACAGACCTGGGAGTGAACACAGACATCACACAAGTAATTTTTTTTAGTTCTTCCCCTATGATTCAACACTTGTATTTAAATCAGTATAAATCCAGATATGTACAAACTAAACATATACAGGACTAGTATAACTCCAGTATTTATTTACTTAGAATACTTTTATATAGCCCTAGACACTATAATTAGGTCTGCAACAGAAAAAAGTTCATAAAATGGTTTAAAATTGAGGATTAAGGAAATGGTCTTCTGGGAGGAAGTATGACATTCCTGGTATGCAGACAATTTGAAGAATGAACTGCTGTCTGGGACACATGACTAGATTCATCCTCGCTCTTCCCTTTTCAAATTACTAGATGTTAATTATGCAGAAGCCCAAGCAAAATGACATGGAAAACATTGCCCAGGAATGACAACTACATTTTAATTCCAAGCATCAGGTTCAAAAAACCTAAACTATGAGACTAAACTAATCCTAGCCCGGTACAGCTTGCAGTGGGCTTGAAACCCCATGTGGCTGAACAGACTCACTCCAGTGCCTACAGAAACCTGGGCACTTCAGACGGGTTAAAAACAGTTTAAACATCCAGCTGTCTGGGGATTTGGCAACAGGAAGCATTAAATACAGATGCATCAGGAATTCAGGTGTTTTACCAGGTTCTACAAAGCAGGCATCCCTATCAGCCCCGGATCCAGAGCCCTGCAGCCTTTTCCTTGTGGAATAGTGCCAGCCAGGTGGCGACCTTCCAGGCAGGAGCCAGCCTTTTTCTGTAGCAGAGCAGAGTCGCCAGGAGTGAAGCAATGATGCCGAGCTACTACAGCATTCAGGAATTAGAAATCCTGAGTCCCAAACTTTTTTAGAAGAACTAAATCCTCATCTTCACTTCCCAGTACAGCGCTCTCCCCACTAAGTCAGGCTCACCTCTCATCGCTGATCTCCTTTTCTGCACAGTAATACAGCTTCAGCAGGAGGGGAAGAAAAAAGCTATGGTAAAGAAAATTCCACTGCCAACCCCTGTGATGTAAAGTCATTCCTGTGGTTGCTGCAGTCCATGCAGCAGCAATCTATCCCAGTGAAGGTGTATGGTATAGAAACCCAAGTCATGGAATATCAGCTGCACTGCAGTAGCTTCCTGTGTGCATACCATAGATTTACCTTGCGGAAAATGAGATAATTCAAGGAAGTTGAAGCTCTCAGTGAGAGAGGAATGGGCTACTTCACATAGAGGGTAAGGTAAAAAATTGATACCAACAATTATCACAAAGTATTTAATGCACATGTCTTGTCACCCTTCCAGCGCAGTACATGTACCTCATCTTGGCTTGAACCCTTGCACTGGCTCAGCAGCTCTTCACATAATGGAGCCAAAGCTGGGTTTAAGGCCTTAAAAATTTACCAAGATGGAGAGGCAGGGCAATTCCATCTCCTACAAGGAAAAAGGGTCACACTTGTTGGTGCAAAACTTCACCAAGCCTGCATCTTAATCTCAGCTGTGCACCCTTTATCTCTTAATTTGGGGGTTGGATCACTTTTGGGAAGGTGCAGTAACAATTTAAACACAACAAGAAGATGAGACTAAACCTAGATTTCTTTCTTGCCGTATATAAAAAGCATACATCCTCTTGTGCTGTTTTGCCAAAAAACTGCCAGAGTTGTATTTTGTGGAAAGTTGAAAGTCTCACTGTAAGGACTTTCATAGTGTTTTCCAGATTGCTATCTGTGTTTACAAAATTAGTTTCCTCAAGGGGACAAAACAAAAGAATGATCAAACAAAATAACTGTGGGTCTTAAGCAAGAGATAAACTGCTCAGATTGGGGCAGTTCCAGGCACTCAGGAACCTCGCTGTTAAAAAAAGAAGCATGTAATCAGGTATGCTCAGGGGCAGAAAACAACTGAGCAATAGCTATGAATGTTGTTGGGTTTTCCCCCTAAAAATCACAGTTTTCATTTAGAGCTAAATTCCACTTACATTTACAAAGAATACCTGAGCATTAAAACGCAGTGTTTCAATTTCTTCAATAAAATTAAGGTTGAAAAGTGTGAAGAAATAATATGAGGGTATGCAAAACCATTATGGACATTATAAGGTTTGGGTAAGGCTGTAAAGGACAAGAAGTTATGGTTTATAAGGAGGCAAATATATTAAGAAATGCACAAAAAATAACAATTTTCATCCCATGAGATCATCATTCAATAAATGAACTGTTATGATTAAGATATTATAGAGCTTTGTGATCTCATACACAACTTCATTCTTATGCATATTTCCCTTTGTTATAACATTAAAATTTATCTCCTTACAGTTGAAAGTGTATCTTGAATTGTTAATTGTACCTTAAAATAGCTATTTGTCTAGGATTTTCTTCAGTCTTCTAAAAACTCTTAAGAGTAAACAAATGGTAAAGAGTTTGTAGAATGAAATAATGCATGACTTCCATGATTTAATGTATAGCACAAATATAATGGCAAACTTCAGTAAAGAAGTGTGAGTTAATTTTAAATTCATTTATATTGCCAAAGCATGCAAACATGCTGGTCAATGGAACTTCATTGGTTTATGAAGCTGCACTAATGAGACAAGTACATACATAAAGCGGGAAGCAAGGAGAAACTAAGCTCTGCATAAAGAGTGACCATACTGCTACTTAAGTGTACACGGCAGCAGAGCACCAGGACTACTGCTAGATTTTTCAAGTTCTGACACTCAAGTCCTAGACAACCATCCGACTTTTGAACAGCAATTACAGCTGGTGCAAGCTGCCTCCAAACAAACACGTAATTTGCTTTCCATGAACAATCATTGTTGTGTAAAAATTAATAGCAGAAAGGAGATGATTAAGTTACCACTTAAGACTAAATGTGTAAGCGTAAACTTGTCTGTAGTCTACATAATAATTCAATATAGTTTTAAGTATAGCTTATCTAAAAAACATGGTGATTTAAGCTCTCATTATAGGTGTCTATGAAGTACAGTCATTCAGAACATGACAGTGATGCACAACATTTAAGTATCTAAAGACACATTTTAAAAGTCAAATTTTATTCTCCAAATTCTTGATTATTTCTGTATTTATTGCTGTTATTTAGATGAGAATATGCCTTCAAGCAAGCAAGCAAACTAAAGAGGCTGAACCCTATTTTAGGGGATTATAAACAACAGCTCTGTAGAACAGCTATCATTTTATTGCAGGCTTCCAGGTTTGCTTAATAAGAATCTGTAAATTTGCTGGGTAGCGATTAAAGTTTGATGGTCTAAAAAGATTCATTGACTGAAAACACATCATCTCCCTCAGTGAATGTTTCCAGCACAACATTTATTTCTTACTATAGCATATATGTGAAAAAATATACTCCCTTGAGCTGCTTCTTAAGTAAACAGGATTATTCCCATATTTAGCTTTCACACAGCACTTTTAACCTACAGAATTCCAAGTCAGTTACATAGGAAACAATTAGCTTTGCTTTACTTGCAAGCAAGCTGGAGGCAGAGTTGTGCAGAGCAGACCAAAGTCCAGGTGCTGTTCAACTGTGGCTTAAACAGATCTAGATTAGGGCTGCCACACCACTGCTGTCCCCCATCCACTCTTGTCCTCTGCCTTGCATTGCTTCCAGTTCAGGGAGCTAACATAATGGAAAAAATAAAAGCTAATCTGGGGGGGAAAAAAAAAAAAGTTATTAACTGGAGCAGTTTTCTGATCTGACCTATCACCTGACCACTTAAGTACAACTCCTTGCAAAAAGCAGAGGGCAGGAAGGGCTAGGGGTGAAGGACAGTGCAGGACCATGGGTTTGCTTACACTGCCACAGAACAACAACCTTAGAGCCCCAGAACCAAGTATTCCCTTCTGTAGCATCGGGTCCATGTCATATTTGAAAAGCACATATTCATCTGAGAAGATAATTCTTTTCATATTACAGTAGCAGAAAACATGTTCTGTACACAACAAAAGACTGCAGCTGAACTCCACTTTGAATTGCAGTCCTTCAACAGTTTCTTTGCACTACACTGCCTTTACTGCTGGGGACATCTACTCTTCGGTATGAGGAAAGACACTCTAAATTTTCATTGGTCCTTGCTATATTTCTTACTCTTTTTTATTATTATTTTGGTTAGGTTGAATACATACCTCTGCTTCCATTTGGTAAGTATTTTCTACTCTACTAAAATCCTCTGTTACAGTCATATTTTCTTCCTAAAACAAAGTACAAGAATATAATCTTAAAAGACAGAAATTAAGCATCTGTTGAAAATGAATGTACATTGAATTGCTTTGATTTATTATGACAGCAACAGAAATTTGGAATTTTCCATGCAAATCTCTTCAGTTAAAATCTAGCTGGATGTTGAAGACTTCCTGACATTATTTAAAGTAAATTATACAGTAGCTCTATAATGTAATTTTGCTGCTATTCACTTGAAGAGAACAATTAGGTCTTAAAAGTGGCTGCTAGCTAGAAGCTGTGTGTATCAGAGTGTAATTGTAAATTCACCTGGTTCAAAAACCTAGGAGCTTCAATTGTTTTCAGAAAGTATGTGAAAAGTGCTCTTCAGGCCCCTATTTTAAGGTATTTGAACAACAGCGGCCTGTAGCAAGGTGATGTGAGCAATCAGTGAGCACTGGTTATTCTGGCAGAATAGTAACCCTTAAAAGAGGCTATTCTATCAGTGACACTTTTACCTTAATAGCAGCTATATTATTCAGCATAATGGCTGCACAGAGCACTAGCAAATCCTGGAAGAGGTAGGGATAAGATACTGAACTAACCAAGATACAAAAATAACTCCAGTTACATCTGAATATTTGACCAGCTTGCTAGCGGTCTAACGATCACATTTCTTTCACCCACTTCTCTGTTTGGTAAACAGTTTGAATGAACAATTTATTATAAAATTACTGTAACAATAAAAAAGCACAGTTTACAATTTAATTGTAAATATAACTTTGCATTTAACACCCAGGAACTGTAGGGAAATGGATACTAAGCCTTCCAATTACTGAAAAAGTTTTACTTACTAACTTTATTTGCATAGGAAAACAATATTTGCTTTCAGTGTTGATACTACATCTTCATAAAACAACCAAAGGAGCATTGTGAAAGTATGCCAGGAATGGATGATGGAACTGGTAAAGCTGACTGTGACCCTGAAGAACACTGCGATTATAACAAGGAAAAACTGAGATAAGCAAGAGGGATGCAAGTGGGGAAATACCAAGATAAGCTCACAGGAACAAAAGCTGCTAATTGAACTAAGGAGAAAACTCCCTGAACAATGAGTGAGGTTTCCTCACTAACATAGTAAAAACACGTCCTCGAGTAGGAAAAGGTCCCCTACCTAGAAAAGCCCCTTCCTCACTGAACTGTCGGAGTTATAGAGGATACTGAGACATTAAATCGAGACAAGGCATGTTGTTAACCGATGAGGAACAAATTGATGAGAAACTAACAAAAGGTCATTACATTACCCGTGTATTTGTGGAGTCTGAAGTGTATACATATGCCACTTGCCTGTGTGCGATGTTAGCTTTGTGAAATTACCGCCTAGTACCCATCTCTGCACAGATATGGATTAAACAAATATCTCGACACTGTGTGTTTTTTGGATCATTGCACACCGGGTAAAAGAATCCAGATTTTTGGGACAACATTGACACGTTTCAAAAGACGCTTTGTGTCAGAATATTTCCTGCAGAGGCTCAAATCTTCAAGTTTATCATGTAGCATGCATGCATGGATTTTATATAAATGACATTAATCATGAGAAGCATTTTCCTTTTAAAATATCATATGGAAATTAGATCCATAATTACCATTGCACAGCAGCCTACAAGAAACAAATTCTGAAATCTCGATTTTATGATTGATTGGCAGTGCTTAAATTCAAGCACAACATCCTATTTTTGGATAATCTTTTCTAGTAAGGGCAAGGACCAGGGCCAGTTAGTCCCTGGAAAACCTGTTTCCCCTTCTGCAGTCATAGATTTGAGGTACTTCGGCAGTGTGGCGGGTTGTGGTTTGCTAAAGAATGCTTGTCAGCCCAGCGCCAACAACTCATTTGATTTACAAAATGGAGAAAATCTTACTAATTATGATAGAATCCAATTACAATTGACAAGAAAGGTTTTTTCTGGAGCTCTTACATATCTTACAGAAATAACATAGAAAAGCTTTTTTCTACAACTCATATTTTACTGAAATAACTATACTGTAATAAAACTTTAGAGTAAACACAGACAAATTGCATTTGTTTTTCCTTGTCCCCGCTCCTTTAATCCTTTTTTTTTAAAAAAAGTTCTCTTTCCTGTGGAACGGATTAAAGTCTTCTAATTTGGTTTTGCCCTCCGCAAGATTTCTGTGTATTTAAGGACAGTGCCATCCTGTGGCTCCAGGCACTATTGCAAGATCAATGCAATCGGAGTGAGAGATCATTTTGTGCCATCTATTATAAAATTCCCTTCACAGATAATTTTCATCCCACCAGATTCGACAGTAGCTGTATGTGTTATTGAGGATAAATGGATGAAATAATTGCTTAAGTCCTAACAAGGTGGCCTCCTGTGATACGTCTTCTGTAGATAACTTTGTTCCTGTTTGGGAGCATGTTTGGACAAAGATATGGAAAAGACGGGTAGGTGATGACAGATTTTTAAATTGGAATCAAGACTTCGACTACATGAAAAGCAAAAGGCTTTTTTCCTACTGCTTATGTCTACTGTTCATATTTTGGCTGAGGAACCATCCATTTGATTGCAACAGTCACAGGAAAAGAAGTCTTCACTGTGACTTAGGGAAAGTTATACTTCTGATGTGTCAGGTATTCTGGACTTCTGGAATAGCTTTCTCCATTTTATGAATCTGTGAGCCAAAAACTGCAGCAGCAAAATTAAATTAATATAACATTATTGTTATGTGATAATACCCCAGAAGCCACTGAACACTTCTTAACAGAACTGGACTTGCATTCTGCTGATATAGCCTATCTTCTAGCTAGCAGTAACATACACCATCAGTGCTGCAGATACTCAAAAAAAAAAAAAAAAGACAGTCAATATCCCACTGAGCTTATAATATCAAGTCTAGAACTGTATTTTGCCTTATATTTTCCTGCTTTTCAACAGAACAAAATCTTATATAGTCCTTCCTCCCTACCTATCTGTTACTTCTGAACAGTATCTTCTTCACAGGACCACTGTGTCCACCCTCAACACCACCACTGCTGTTTACTGGAGTGACTGCTCCTTTCCCCAGAAGAGAACAGGGAAAAGAAATAAATAGAGAAAGCACACTTCAAGGAGACAGCTATATAACAATACAGTATGAGAAAAGCCGACCTGCAAAGTTATGTGTACTGCTCCTAGTTACTGAGTTAACAAAACTGTGAGACCTTTTCATGAAACACAAGAGCAGCACTAGTAAGGGAAAATGTTTGGAAATGTATACTAATGCACTGTTGTGGTATGCTGTGCTGATATGCGTAGTTATAAATAAAAAAATCTGGAGACGCCTACAAATACCTCTTAAAGTTTACTTGCACATTTTCACTGATATATTGGATGTAACTTTACATAATGAAAAATACTGATACCTGAAAGACTTAGCTTCATCCACCTGCACATAACATTTTTGTACTTAGTACTAAAAAAATGGGAAATGAGAGTCTTGGTGTATGCCCGTATCTCCTAACAGACCATCATCCATCACAGTGTCCCCAGACAGTTCAGGATGGTAAGCACCTACAATCAGCGTATGGCCCAGCTACACATCAGGTACCTGTGCTCCAGCCTCTCACTCTGATCTGTTTGGCATTAGATGGACAGAACGACAACCTAAAAATCTACAGTGAAGAAGCTTCTGCTGCTTTTAACATCCATTCAAGAAATAACAGAAGTATATGTAACAGTTACTTTAAGAAAGGTAAAAATCAGATTTGTACTCAGCAAATGTAAGGATACTTTGGGATATTTCTTAAAATACGTGGCAGTCTAAAAAAGTTGACACCTTACACAGGTTTCTACATTTCTTATTCGAGGATATATTGAAACTGGAAGATTTTGTAACTGAGTGAGCAAGACTTCAAAATTTTTTTCACTGATTGTATGGATGTACATCCATAACTGTGACTCCTAAATAACAGGTTTGAAATATGGAGAATACCGCACGTATATCTAAGGATATATCTCAGTACACACAAACTCTAAGCCCGAGCATATAGTTTGTGTGTTGGTTGGTTTGTTTTGTTGAATAACACCCTGACTAACAAATATTATCACCATTATTTTTAAACAAGATGACCAATGGCAATTATTAGATACAGTGGTTAAAGAAAACAAGTGTCATCTCCACACCACTCCCCAAATAAATCATAGGGGGTAAATATAAAATCAGTTTGCTTCTAGAGAAAGAGAAAAAAAATTACTTTTGAGCAGCTGGGCTGAGTAAGAGAAATTGGTTTCCCCATTGATTTTACTTTCCCTGCAGCCTTCAAAGCAGATTCTGTGCTCTGAAGTGCTGCATATACTTACAGCACTCTATAAATAAATACTACTATGTGCATCTATTTCTGATTAAAATCCTGTGCAAATATATATGGAAATTAGGTGCTGGCCCCAGGCATCCTGACAAGCTGCTAATGCAAGTTCCTACTGCTGCAAAGGTTACACACTTCTGATCTCTCAGACTTCCTACGATTGCAACAAGAATGGTTAAGGAAGTTGTTCTATGGATTAATTAAAAATAAACATACAGAATAGCCAGCTGATTTCTAAAGAGGCCTTAGATAAGCCTGCAACAACCAGAACCATATGGAGATTGTGAAGAGATATTAATTTTACAGTGGTCTAGAATGGTATTAGCTACAAGTGATATTAGCAAATGCAGTTAAGAACAAATTGCCAGCAGTGAGGTTGTTAGTAGAAAAGCTACAAGGCAAATAAAAGCTCCAGCAGTGGAGTGATTTAAAATTGGATGGAACAAAGCACTAAAAATTATACCGCAGGGAACTACTCTGAAAAAAAAAATAACTTCATGTTGTTTTTCTCAGAGTTCCCTAGAGCTAACACTTTGCTAACACTGAGAAACCCACAACTTACGCAGCATTTCACAGTCCCTCAAGTAAGTAGAAAGAACTAACAATTCTCTTCGCCAACGCATGGCATCTCTGAAACAGCAAAAGATTACTGTGAAATTATTATAACTGTAAGAAGGCACTGAATGCTCTCACATTGATAAAGCAGTCCACTCTCCACCTAGGTTACTCCACTGCTGCTTTCCTGCTCCCATTATATTTCTGAATCTGACTACATATACCCAAATGTAACCATGTGTTTGTCCAGGTCATAAGTTATTTTGCAATTATTTTTTCTAGCCTGGAGTAGTGTGCACAGCTTATCTAAAGCACACTTAATTATTTAACATCCTGCCTACTCCTTTTGTGTGCCATCTGCCATATGTCGAATGCTCCATGCTACCCTAATTCAATCAGGCTCATGTCAAAACTGGAAGTCAGTTATTCAGATTCACTGTAGGGTAGGTATCTGCAACTATCTTTTCTAATCTATCCACACTCTGAAGAGCTATTTAATTGCAGCCAGGATGAAAACACCCCATGATCTGATAGCTCACCATGGTGGTGGGTACAAAGCTTATCGTTCTCTCTGCTAATAAAAATGAATGCATGAGGAGTTCCCTTGTCTTCTCCCATTCCTCTTAAAATACACCAGACATTAAAGTTCCATTAACTGACTTAATAGAAACGGAAGGTATTCAACAGGTAATTCCATAGAAAAATGCACCGTTTCTGACTGAACAGGTCATTCTGATGGCAACGGAACTGTGCTCCTTGTGACAAACACACACACAGAGCCACGTGTTCGGGAAAAATGTAGGGAACAGGATCACGTACCTAGACCACAGCAGCCTCTGTGTCTCTTTGCCATGTAGTCCCATAGATGCAATACGAGCTTTTTCTAAATCAGGGGTTAAGGGGTATTTTTATTGCCTTCTTTATTCCTAAACAAATGCTTTATTTAGCTGCTACAGAATCAGAGACAGCATCACTATCAGTTTTAAAAGAAAACAGTAAATTCTATTTTGTTGAAGGAAAAAAAAAGTTGCACTCAGCACTTATCTTCAACCGCATGCAGCATTTGAGATGTGGGCATGCCATTTCACTGTAAGCATATCACTCTTTAGGCCAAGTAGCTTACGCTCTTACTTTGCATTTACTGAATTCCACGGTAACATGGTGCAGTATCATGAAATCTGCAATTATTTTTTTTTTTTACTACATTGATTAATATGGTGTCACTAGCAAAGTCTGTCATCTCCCTTTTCTGCAGCTCATTTGTGAATACAGTAAAAATACACAAATTTCCTGGGGAAATTCAGTAGTAAGTAACTTTCAAAAGCAACCACTTATTTTGTCAAAGACCAGCTTTGTTCTGTGTGGAACACTGTCCAAAACGCCTTTATAAAAAACAAAAACATCAGCAGCACAACTGATTGGACAAATACCCTTAAGGAGCATTTACAGCATGGACAAAGCTTTAAAAGCAAGACTATGCTTTTCTTAATGTCATAAATTAACTCCTTGAGGCCAAGAATCTTATGGTAAAGGAACTTTTGGAGTCCACAAGGGGCTTCTGTCACTTCAGCTATCTTGATCATGCCTCACGTTGTTTCCTACCTCTATTTATCTGGAACAAGAGAGGAAAATTCTCTGTAGTCATCTGTCGCTGAGCTATGGTACTCGCACAGTTACACTGGCACTTACACACATGTACAGGTTAAGTTATCTTGCTGTGCACCCCCTTATCAGCTTCATCCGTGTGCACGTGAGGATTCTGTGTTACAAGATCAAATGCAACAGTCAAAGCAGGATGGTTTCACACGCAAAACAGGCGACCTGCTGGAGAGCCCGAGCAGCGACATCCCACCCTTTCTGCTGAGCCTGGCAAAGCTGCAACCTCCGAACGACGGGCAGCGTTCACAGCCGCGGCCCGGGGCGCTGCCCAGGCCGGGAGCTCCAAACGGCGCTACTCTGCTAGATGTGTGTTTACAGGACAAAATATTTCTCTTTGCCACAAGTGTTTTGCAACCAAAGAACAAAAGAACAGACAACAAAACAGTCTGCGTATGGCACACGAGTAATAGCATATAGGGAAATGTTCTTAGTTAAAAACAAGTGCAAATCTGGAAAGCGTGGAAGCAGGGTATAGTGCAACTGTTCCACGGAACATGCACACAGGACAATTCTTTGAGTAAATATTAGCAAAGAATTACTGCTGATATTTATCCATGCCCCATGAAAATGGATGTGTGTGTGTGTATGTGTGAAATCGGCTGATCTGCTCAGCCACTACACACCTGCTCTCTTGGAGGCATTCCTTTGAATGGAAGGAGCAAGTGCAAAGACTGAAATGCCAAAACACCCTGCCAGAGCCCGTTCTGCCAGGCTCATGGTGTTGCATAAGATGCTCATAAAAGGAGAAACTCATGAAACTGCGTGCAAAATGAAAATACCCTGCAGGAAAAATGTCTGCCCCCTCTGAACATTTACCCCCAATATGTAACAGTTAAGGCTGGGACTAGGTCAAGGAGGCAAATGAGCTGCATTTTAAACTTCTTTACCCTCCAGTTATTTGTGGTCAGGCAGTCACCCATAGCTAATGTTTTTTCTTTTTTTCTCTCCCTGTTATGACAGACCTGAGATAGACAAGTACCATTTGGAGAAACAGCTCTTCATTGAATGATGAGGTCCACAAGGACCTCCTTCAAGATGTATTCACTGTCTCATGGTGCTGATGGAAGAAGCTCTTTAAC